CTGCAAAATCTTTTTAACGATGGCCTTGTGGCGCAAGTGGTAGCGCGTCTGACTCCAGATCAGAAGGTTAGATGTTCAAGTCACCAGGGGCGGATCCAGGATTTTTCGTACGTTAGTCAAAGTTTTCGGATGTACAATCTAGTTTTGCGAGCGGCGAATGCGCGAGACACCTATAGGGAGGTCTGTCCCCCAGGAATTTTTATATTTTTAAACCTCCGAAACGCAATTTGCATCACTCTGAAAGCAGCTTCAACAAAAAATTAACTTCATGAAATGGGAGATAATTATAGCAACTATCAGTCTGACTGACTCTCACAACTCGCTCCTTAGGGAAAAGTAAAGGAGAAGTACTTGCAGAAATGTGACAATTGTGGAAGATCATTCATTTTATCAAATTACGGATTGCTAGTATTATGTTTAACTATCTCATGATAGTACTAAACTCATTTTTGTTGCCTAATAGCCTTGTCGAGTCATTGATCACTTGACTAGTAATCACTACAGTGTCATATTACTCAAATAAACATATCAATATTAAAGTCTTAACATTCAGCTATAAAATCTGACTTTTATATCCTATATACACTGCATTAATGCATTTATATAGGTTATTCTCCATATTAATAGCCTTCTGAGTTCTGACGGACCTTCAACCGCAGAATTACAAATATGCAAATTTGTTGTGTAAATCAAAATTCACAGCTAAATCTAAATCAAGATACGCGTATTCAAGTTACAATTTTACATATGCATGGCGCGCATCTTGTGCGCTTATAAATATTGTTATGCTGTCTAAAACGAAATAAAATTTACATATCACATTAAATTTACCTTATTGCACTTCAGAATAAAGATGTCGGCGCCAATACTTACTCAAACAGTCAAACTGTAGTTCGTGCTATACACTGCTATTCGTGGCGCTTACGCCGCTTAGCAACTGCTCACTGAATGGAACTCTCCGATATTTAGCGTTGATTTTCCTCCCAACACCCAAGATCAGCGTAACAGTCGTGTAAGACAGCTACATCATTCACCGCAAATGCGGATTGAACCGTTTCGTGAATACTACAAGGACTGGAGTCTGGAGCAGCAGACATTTCCGAATTTTCCGTAGATATCTTTAAATTGAATCTTTCGACAAAGCTACAACATGACACTTCGAATGAGCGCGCGCTCGGAAAGACTTTATCACGCGTCAAATGTTAATGATATTCCGACTAATGGAGCGCCCCTGATTTTGTAAATCGGTCAGAACTCCCCACAGATCAGTCAAAATCGCAAAAAATCGCTTGTTACCATGGCAATAAGCGTCTAGACCAATCAAAACACTGTATTTTGACTTTTTGACTGACCGACTTTGCGTATGTCAGCTGCTCATTGACTTGACTAAGCTCGTCGGCTCAACCACTGTATGAAATTTGATCACTGGACTACAGTTCGATTGGAATGTTAATTGCTAGCGCTGCATGATAATAGATACTGGACTATTATAAGGTGTCGCTGCATGATAAAAAATAACTGGACTATTGGTCGAATATTTAAGACTTTAATTAAGTTTGTAATTTTTACGTTAGTCGCGTGACTGGTTTGACGACCCCTAGATCCGCCCCTGCAAGTCACTTCAAGGTCATGACGAACCTTAGGAATTTTCTTGAAAATGTTCGATATCAGAATAGAGAAGCCTTTTACATTTAGTGGTGGTTGCAATGTTGGTCGATCGAATTCTCATTTGGTCTAGTGGTTAGGATCTGGCGCTCTCACCGCCATGGCCGGGTTTAATTCCCGGCATGGGAAAATGCAAATTCTCTACAGAAAATGCCTTTTATTCCGTGCTTACATTCTAAGAATTGTGCCCTCGTGCTGTTGACGTTTTACTACGTCCATCATTTTAATTTGCAGTGCCGCAAACAACGTAGCTAAAGAACATCACAATGAGTAATTACTGACGACGTGTGTACCAGTTCTAAAAATAACTTGGTGGAACAAGGGGGAATTTCGTTCTCGACCAATCGGCGCTTTTGTTTACATTTTTGCCCTAAGCCAATCAGAATGCGTAAAACGCTTCATCACATGAAATTTGTTAACAAACGTATGGCGTTACTTCAGAGCTTTTCTGCAAGCGGTTTTTTTGGTTTTTGCCATGAAATTGATATATGTTGTTCTTAAAAAAATTCTCCTCAACTTCCTCGTGGCGATTTTTGATTAATTGCGTGATTGCGAAGATATGAGTCTTCAAACTTTGCGTTGCGCAAGCTTAAATACAGTGGCGTAGCCAGACCTTCATTTTATGTGGGTGAAGCGAACGCCGAAGGCGCGAGACCATCTATGGAGGTCCGGGGGCATGCACCCCCGTGAAAATTTTGAAATTGAGAGTCCCTGAAATGTGATTTCAAGCATTTTGGGGGTGAAATCTTGCAGAATTCCGAAGATTATAAAGTACGCTCTAGGGGGGTCCGGGGGAATGCATCCCTGGGAAAATTTTAAAATTTAGAGTCCCTGAAATGTGATTTCAAGCATTTTGGTGGTGGAATCTTGCACAATCCCAAGATTATAAAGTACGTCGTAGACATAAATTTTCCCAGACATTTCTAAGTTTCTACTTGCTTTTATATATGATACAGAATAAGTCTGAGTAGAATATTCGTGTTATCATAATGCATATACATGTAAATCTAAACTAAATCTATTCCTCTTAGAACCATATACATACATACATACAAAACTTTATTTAGATCACGCTAGCCTCAACAGCCGTTGGAAGGCTGGTTTCCATGAGGGGCGTGAAATTACCTATTTACAAAAAGTTAACTAATATATACAGGAAATACAAAATATAACAAAATAAATAAATACAATTGATTTTAGCTGCGCGATTATACACAAGCAAATTTCAACTCATTCTTTGTTTCAATATCGACTTGAAAGAGCTTAGAGATTCAGCAATTTTTGCCTCATGGGGAAGATTATTCCAATGCAAGGCACCATTATAACTGAAGCACCTCTTGCCGAATTCTTTTTTCGGCATAGGTGGTGCTAAATCAGTATCCGTATTTCTAAGATTGTAAGTATTATGTCTTTCATTATTAAAATGGAATGCTTCTTTAAGATTTGGTGCGGTGTGGTCATTCAGAACTTTATAGATGAAAATAGATTTAAGATAATTTCGTCTTTCTTCTAGAGGTTTCCAATTTAGATTATTGAGTAACTCAGATGACCGAATAACGAGATTTAAGAAATCAAGTTCTTCCAGTATTTCGTCGTTTTCCTCAGTCGAGACGTACTAAATCCGTTTCAGCTTCGAGGATGTAACGTGTACCCCCCCATTTTTCTACGGATTTAGCCTTTTTCAGAGAATAGTTTTTTTGCGATTGGGGAGTGCGACCGCCCCCCCCCCGTTGCCCCCACTTGGCTACGCCCCTGTCTTTAGCTACGTTGTTTGCGGCACTGCAAATTAAAATGATCGACGTAGCAAAACGTCAACAGCACGAGGGCACAATTCTTAGAATGTAAGCATGGAATAAAAGGCATTTTCTGTAGAGAATTTGCATTTTCCCATGCCAGGAATTGAACCCGGGCCATGGCGGTGAGAGCGCCAGATCCTAACCACTAGACCACATGGGAATTCGATCGACCAATATTGCAACCACCACTAAATGTAAAAGGCTTCTCTATTCTGATATCGAACATTTTCAAGAAAATTGCTAAGGTTCGTCATGACCTTGAAGTGACTTGAACACTTAACCTTCTGATCTGGAGTCAGACGCGCTACCAGTTGCGCCACAAGGCCATCGTTAAAAAGATTTTGCAGTTGAATATCCAGGATGCAGTCGTCGAAACAAAAGTCATCGAATATCCTAAAAAGCATTCCCATGCCGGGAATCGAACCCGGGCCATGGCGGTGAAAACGCCAGATCCTAACCACTAGACCACATGGGACATTCATTCATTCGTACGTCTTTATTAAAATCTATCGTAAATATTGGAGTTGCAACAAACGTGCAACTTTACAGTACATATAAGGTAAAATTACATTATTTACAAATGTGTTAACGTTACAGTTAATATATACCGTAAAACCAAATTTTAAAAGTCATTAAAAGTTGTTTAAAACGATCAGTGCATATAAGATATAATAATTAGATTATTTAGAAATGTGTTAACGTTACTGTTAATATATACGGTATAAAAAAATTCTAAAATCATTAAAAAAAAACTTATTTACAAATAATTGTTTAAAACGTTCTGTGTATACTTTTGGCATCATAAATTGATCATCGCGTTCTTCTTTAGACATGTGTTGGAGGGATTCCAATTTCTGTGCATGTGGATGATGATAGCAATTGTTCACTAAATTCATGAAACCATCATGCGAGAGGTAAAATACTCTGCGTTGGCGGGGAATCGAACCCCGGTCTCCCGCGTGGCAGGCGAGAATTCTACCTCTGAACCAACAACGCGATATACTGCACAGCCATTTCTTCGCAATTTTTACTATTTCGCTGTGGATTTAAACACCAGCAAGTTATCTTTAGAACTGGTACACACGTCGTCAGTAATTACTCATTGTCATCTTCTTTAGCTACGTTGTTTGCGGCACTGCAATTTAAAATGATGGACGCAGCAAACCGTCAACAGCACGAGGGCACAATTCTTAGAATGTAAGCACGGAATAAAAGGCATTTTCTGTAGAGAATTTGCATTTTCCCATGCTGGGAATTGAACGCGGGCCATGGCGGTGAGAGAGCCAGATCCTAACCACTAGACCACATGGGAATTCGATCGACCAATATTGCAACCACCACTAAATGTAAAAGGCTTCTCTATTCTGATATCGAACATTTTCAAGAAAATTCCTAAGGTTCGTCATGACCTTGAAGTGACTTGAACACTTAACCTTCTGATCTGGAGTCAGACGCGCTACCAGTTGCGCCACAAGGCCATCCTTAAAAAGATTTTGCAGTTGAATATCCACGATGCAGTCGTCGAAACAATAGTCATCGAATATGCTAATAAGCATTCCCGTGCCGGGAATCGAACCCGGGCCATGGCGGTGAAAACGCCAGATACTAACCACTTGACCACATGGGACATTCATTCATTCCTACGTCTTTATTAAAATCTATCATAATGCGCGAATTATAATCTATCAATATCCGCGAATTCATGATGGAAAATGAGATAAACTTATCCTTTCTAACTGAAACTTGGCTCAATGACTCAATTACAGATAGCGTTGAAAGCATACCTGGGTTTACAATCATACGCAAAGATAGATCTATAAACAACCATGGCGGAATCTGTATTTATATCAGAGACGGTGATACGAAACTCAAAATCCTTTCAGAAATTTCATGTTGTTCCGAACACGAAATCTTATGGCTTCATTTAAAACCTAGACGACTTCCTCGTGAATTTTCCTCAATCATAGTTGCCGTCCTATACCACCCCCCCAGTGCCGACGATTTCAGCATGCAGAGTCACTTATTTCAGACACTGAGCGAAGTCGAAGCAAAATTTTACAGCTGCGGTATTATCATTGCTGGGGATTTCAATCGTCTTAATGTGAATCATATAATTAAGCATTTTCGGTTGAAACAAATTGTTAAATCACCAACTCGAGGCGAAGCAATACTTGATCTAATATTAACTAATATGCACGAGTTCTACAAGTCTCCGCAAATACTCCCTCCAATTGGATTATCTGATCACAACACAGTTGTAGTTTCACCCACTCACATTGTGAAGAAAGCAAAACCTACATTTGTATACAAACGAGACCTTCGTCAGAGTAAGAAAGATGCCATGGGGAGATTTTTACAATCAATCCTTTGGCCTAAAATTTTTGCTCAATCACAAAGCTGTGAAGATATGGCGAATTTTTTTTATGACATTGTAGCTATTGGTCTTAACCTCCTCATGCCATTTAAACGGATTAAGAAAATCTCTGCAGATGTTCCTTGGATGACCGATAAATTGAAAACATTTATAAAAAAAAGACAAGAAGCCTTTTTCAGTTACGGTCCAAAATCCAACTGCTTTAAATATTACCGAAATATTGTCAATCGCGAGAGAAAAGCGTGTAAATCAAAATACTATACGACCCAGGTTCACAGTAAAGAAAAAGATAACTCTAAAGCTTGGTGGAGTGAAATCAAACGCCTAGGAGGAATGAAATCAATGAATAGCTCCCTAATAAATTTGATAAATATCGCTGGTTTTGAAGATATATCGGAACAAGAACTAGCAAACAGAATAAATACAGCTTTTCTTGAGCCCTTATTAGAATATCAACTATCTTCACCGTTAGAGCGACTTAACTTAGAGGAAAACCCAGACTTCTTAGAAGTTTCTGAAGAAAGGGTTTTATCACAGCTACAAAAACTCAACCCCAGTAAAAGTGGTGGCCCTGACGAAGTGCCCAATTGGCTCTTGCGAGAGTATGCTGTAATCCTTGCCCTCCCAATTAGTCTACTCCTAAATGCATCCTACAAACAACAACGCCTACCTGCAATATGGAAACTTGCGAATGTTTCACCGCTGCCAAAAGTAAAAATAGTACAGGACCTGAAAAAAGAACTTAGGCCCATTTCATTAACACCTAATATTTCGAAGGTTGCAGAGCATTTCGTTGTTAATGATTATGTGAAACCAGCTGTTTTGAAGAAAATTGACCCCAATCAGTATGGAGCAATCCCTAAATCATCGACGATTTTTGCTCTTCTTAGTATGGTGCATAACTGGACCTCCGGGCTTGACGGTACCGGTTCTACAACTAGAATCATTCTATTCGATTACCAAAAAGCTTTTGATCTAATTGATCACAGAATTTTGTTCAATAAACTACTTCAGTTAGATCTACCACGAAGTGTTATAAATTGGATTATTGATTTCTTAAGTAACAGATTCCAAAGAGTCAAACTTTCACAAGGATGTTTTTCAGATTGGGGTGCAGTACCTTCGGGCGTCCCTCAAGGCACCATTTTAGGTCCATGGCTCTTTTTAATCCTGATAAATGATTTATCTATCACAGATACTGACTTATGGAAATACGTGGACGATACGACAGTATCGGAAACAGTTGACAAAAACCAACAGAGTAGAGCACAGACAATTGCTAATTAGATGTCACAATGGTCCCAAAACAATAAAATGAAGCTGAATGAAGAGAAATGTAAGGAGCTCCGTATTTCCTTCTCAAAAGTCCCTCGTGATTTTAACCCGATACTTATTAACAATAAAAGTATTAGAGTCGTAAAATCCGTTAAACTTCTGGGCTTGTCATTCGATAATAACCTGACGTGGAATCTACATATCGAAGAGGTAGTTAAAAAAGTATCCAAACGAATCTATTACCTGATCCAACTCAAACGGGCCAGTATTCCTCGGAATGATCTGGTTCTATTTTATGTTACATGTATTCGATCTGTTATCGACTATGGTATCCCTGTCATTTACTATTCGTTGCCAAAATACTTGCGTTCCGAATTGGAAAGATTACAAAAAAGAGCTATTAGAATCATCTGTCCAAACACTAATTACGAAGACGCTTTAATTAGTTGTGGATTGGAGTCACTGTCTGTTCATCATGAAAATATTTGTACTAGTTTATTTCAAACAGTAGTTGCTGATGAAAATCATAAGTTACGAAGTTTACTGCCACCTATACATACTTCTTTTTATGATTTAAGAACTAGTTTTTTTGTGGCTTCGTGCCGCAAATCATTTATCTAATGCTATTGAAATGACCTAATATTTTTAATAATTTTAAATTTTTTAGTATATTAAAGTAATAAACATCTTGTATATATAATATTTATATGGGATGTCATCATAATGGCTTGATAAACTCTTCTTTTATATTCTCGTAATGAGTTAAATTTACTTGTAAAAAAATACGCAATTCAGCCTATGGCTGCGAAGTATTTTATTAAATCTATCTATCTATCTATCTATCAAATATTGGCGTTGCAACAAACGTGCAACTTTACAGTACATATAAGGTAAAATTACATTATTTACAAATGTGTTAACGTTACAGTTAATATATACCGTAAAACCAAATTTTAAAAGTCATTAAAATTTCTCTAAAACGATCAGTGCATATAAGATATAATAATTAGATTATTTTGAAATGTGTTAACGTTACTGTTATAATATATACCGTATAAAAAAATTCTAAAATCATTAAAAAGAAACTTATTTAAAAATGATTGTTTAAAACGGTCTGTGTAAACTTTTGGCAACATAAATTGATGATCGCGTTCTTCTTTAGACATGTGTTGGAGGGATTCCAATTTCTGTTCATGTGGATGACGATAGCAATTTTTCACTAAATTCATGAAACCATCATGCGAGAGGTAAAATACTCTGCGTTGGCGGGGAATCGAACCCCGGTCTCCCTTCTTCGCAATTTTTACTATTTCGCTGTGGATTTAAACACCACCAAGTTATTTTTAGAACTGGTACACACGTCGTCAGTAATTACTCATTGTGATCTTCTTTAGCTACGTTGTTTGCGGCAGTGCAAATTAAAATGATGGACGTAGCAAAACGTTAACAGCACGAGGACACAATTCTTAGAATGTAAGCGCGGAATAAAATTTTCCCATGCCTGGAATTGAACCCGGGCCATGTCGGCGAGAGCGCCAGATCCTAACCACCAGACCAAATGGGAATTCGATCGACCAACATTGCAACCAACACTAAATGTAAAAGGCTTCTCTATTCTGATATCGAACATTTTCAAGAAAATACCTAAGGTTCGTCATGACCTTGAAGTGACTTGAACACTTAACCTTCTGGGGCCGGTTGTATAAAAAAGTGATTAAAGTTAACTATAGTTAAGTGGGAACGTCATCCAATAAGAAGCGCCAATTTAAGAGTTAATCACTATTTAACTACAAAATAGTGATTAAAAAAGTGATTAAGAGTTTTATACAACCGGCGCCTGATCTGGAGTCAGACGCGCTACCAGTTGCGCCACAAGGGCATCGTTAAAAAGATTTTCCAGTTAAATATCCACGCTGCAGTCTTCGAAACAAAAGTCACCGAATATCCTAAAAAGCATTCCCATGGCGGGAATCGAACCCGGGCCATGGCGGTGAAAACGCCAGATCCTAACCGCTTGACCACATGCGACATTCATTCATTCGTACGTCTTTATTAAAATCTATCATAAATATTGGAGTTGCAACAAGCGTGCAACTTTACCGAGTACATATAAGATATAATTACATTATTTACAAATGTGTTAACGTTATAGTTAATATATACCGTAAAACCAAGTTTTGAAAGTCATTAAAAGTTGTTTAAAACGATCAGTGCATATAAGATAAAATAATTAGATTATTTAGAAATATGTTAACGTTATTGTTATAATATATACCGTATAAAAAAATTCTAAAAGTCATTAAAAAGACACTTATTTAAAAATGATTGTTTAAAACGATCTGTGTAAACTTTTCGCAACATAAATTGATCATCGCGTTCTTCTTTAGACATGTGTTGGAGGGATTCCAATTTCTGTCCATGTGGATGATGATAGCAATTTTTCACTAAATTCATGAAACCATCATGCTAGAGGTAAAATACTCTGCGTTGGCGGGGAATCGAAGCCCGGTCTCCCGCGTGGCAGGCGAGAATTCTACCACTGAACCACCAACGCGATATATTGCACAGTCATTTCTTCGCAATTTTACTATTACCGAAATCAGTAGTGTCTTTTCCGGAAGTTGAAAAGACAGTCAAAAGCCAGTAGAAACTTTCATGTTTTATGACGTCACGATGAAAGAATGTAGCGTGGAACTTGTAAGTTATTTTACTTATTAGTAACTCCCTGTAGTAACTTTGCATTTCTTCTCCCAGTGCCTTCCCACGAATAAAAGTTCTCCCTAGTGTGAGGCGGTTTCTACAAAAAACCGAAAACCGGCCAAAAAAACCGAAAAAACCGAGTGAACAGGTTTTTTTAAAAAATATGTGCGAAAATCGGTTTAAAAAAGACAACAACACACGCTATTGAATATTTTAGACCTGTCTTCGCAGACGTCCGCCTTTATTACTAGCGAATCAAAATTCACCATCGCTTGATCCGCTTATCCGTTCAAGACTTCAAGCTCGCGCGAAATTGTAGAATGATATTTATAACGTAAGGTATTTTGAAGATGTCATCAAATTTCAAACAAAATCTCTTTAGTTTTCGTGTGTAAATGCCAAAACTTGATTCATTTGCAAGAAACTGGTATAAGTATGTTTCGATTTCGGTTTTCGCCGGATGGTAACACCAAAGCAAGATGGCGGACGTGTTTTTTTTTAACTCCGCATTTTTAAAATAAATAAACATTGTTTAACTCTTTCCAACAAGGCGTTCAAGCAAGTTATAGTTGTTCATAGTTGGAACATGACTCAGTGTTGCCGGTGTAACGGAAATGGGACATGTAGATCGTGTATTTGTGCTAGGAACAACCGCGTTTGCACAAATTGTAAGCCAGGGAAAGATAAACGATGTGAAAATCAAAATCAAAATCAAATAGGAAATCTGCCAAGCTTACTTCAAGATGGATCGACATCGCACGTTAATCAACACCAAGAACCCGAAAGCGATGAAAATGAAGTAATAATTTCAGAACACACAGAAAACGGCCAGGAGCGGAGAGAGCTAACAAATTTTTCTACAGAATTAAATCTCACACAGATTATTAAAACTCCAACTAGAATCACGGCGACGTCCCAAACGCTTATTGATGTTATTCTAGTCTCATCCACAGCACTTGTTCTTAAGAGTGGTGTTATTAACACTTCTATCAGTGACCATTTACCAGTGTACGTCCTACTAAAGTTAAAGGCCCCAAAGATGCCAGCATGTTACATTACAACTAGGAGTTATAAAAACTATAATCCCTCACTATTTTCCTCTGACCTTGTCACTAAATCGGATCGTCTGTTATCCATATTATCCAACACCAACGTTAATACAATACTCGAAACCTTCAAAGATGTTCTTCACTCAACTCTCGACGTGCATGCACCATTAAAAACCTTCAAAATTCGAAATCGATCATGTCCATATGTCACCAATGAAATAAAAGAACTCATGAAGTCTCGGGACCTACACCTACGTCGGTTTCAACTGACACCGTGCTGAAGGTGATTGGGTAGTTTACAAAGAATATCGTAATAACGTAAAAACCAAAATTAAAGCCGCAGCAAAGGACCACACCTTCAACGAAGTAAGAGAACATAAACACAGTTCGAGATCCCTATGGAAAATAATTAATAATATAATTCCCTCGAAGGAAAAGGAAACACAAGTTTATAGTAAAGATCCAAAAACAGTTGCAGAAGATTTCAACCTTTTTTTTACTTCTGTGGGACGGAACGCTGCTGCGACAGCCGAAAGTTTAGCCAAAGACAACAATGTTGCACTGTCAAATCCTCTGTCAAATGTAATCACTTATCCATCTGATCAACTGTTCAATTTCCAATCCGTTACTTGTACAGAGGTTCAACGCATTATCATGGCTATGCCAAGTAATAAGTCACCAGGACCAGATAAAATAGGCATGCGTGTCATCAAAGACTGTCTTCCAATCATACTGGGTCCTCTTACGCATATGATAAATTGCTCTCTAATGACAAGCACATTCCCTGAGCTATGGAAGATTTCTGAAGTTATACCCCTACTAAAAGAAGGAGACCACGAGGTAGCCTCAAACAATCGGCCTCTCTCACTACTCGAGGTAGTTTCAAAAGTTTGTGAAAAAGTTGTTCTAAATCAATTTAGCTCCTACCTCAAAGAATTTAATCGCATATCGTCACATCAAAGCGGGAATAGGAGTCTTCACTCCACCGAAACCTTAAACATATTTGTTACCGATACGATGTTGGAAGCCATAGACAACAAAAATCTAACGGCACTAATTTTATTGGATTTATCCAAGGCATTTGACAGTGTCAGTCATTCGATTTTATTACACAAATTGAGTTGTA